CCCCCCACCGTCCTTCCTCCTTTTCTGTTGCCCCTCCCTTCTGCTTTCCCCTTCATTGAAGCCAGGTGGCTGTAGTTCCCAGAAGGGACTTATATTCCCCTTCCAAGGCTCAAAGCCCTGGGTGGGGTGTGCCCTGGCAGTGACCTTTGGCCAAGTGCCTCCCATGACAGGTGCTGGTGCCACAGGCTGTTTTCAGTGTGTGCCTCTCCTGCCCACCAGCCCTCCGCCACCCGGGACAATGACAGGGCTGTGGGGTTCCTCTTGGCTTGCACCTACTTAAAACTTCCTCGTTCTGTGCATGGGGGAGGGCGGACGGAGAGGCTCCAGAAGGGGAAGAGATCCACCTTTCCTAGAGCCCTTACTACGTGCCAGGCACCGTGCTAAGTCCTTTCAAGTACCAGTATCGCAGCGGATTCTGATAAGAACCCTCTGAAGTAGGCAGCACCATCTTCGCTTTAGAAGCATGGAAACAGATGCCCAGGGAAGCACAGCTGGGCTGTGGTCACTCCACCTTCTCCCCCGCTGGAGGGATGCGTAAGGCAGTGGGTGGCAGTCAGCCCCCTGGTTGTTTGCCCAGAGGGGTACCCTGTGGAGGAAGGGGGCACTGCTGTAAGGGATGTGGGGGCTCCCAGAGGCCAGGAAAGAACGCCCAGCAGCTTCGAGACAGCAGGCAAAGGGTAGACATCGCCAAAGCCCGCCTCAAGGGTCGCGGTGACTTTCTACTCACACTGCTCTTTTTTGAACCGACAGTTTAGCCAGGAATTAAATTAAAACACACATTTCGGTCTGAGCCAGACCCACATCGAGCTAAGGAACTCTTTGGTTGAAGCCCCTCTCCCTGCGCACCGCAGCCCTTATGTGTCGCCTCGGCACTGAGCCACTGCTGTCCTCACTTCCTCCACTGGCAGCTCCCCAGCGAGGGCGGACGACCGTGCGCACGAGCATACTGGACGGGGCGAGCCTCACCTGGCTGGACCCACGAGTCTCTACTTCCCCATTGCTCCTTCCACTCTGAGCAACCCTCCAGTCCCGCTTCTTCCTCCAGGAGCCCCCAGAGCTCCCTTAGGGACCGTCACCTCTGCCACTGCCCGCGGTTCACCGATGGTGAAACTGAGCTTCAGACAGGTGAAGGGATTGCTCCCAGTCCCTCAGCCAGAGCGCCTGATTCTCAGTGCGCAAACCCTGCCTGGGGGCCAGGCCGTCCTACCCTCTGTCAGTACCAATTCTCTGGAAATTAGTTGTATGAATTGAAGTCCTGGGGACACAGACAAGAGATGCCAGTGGGGACAACGAAGAAACCAGGTACAAAATAGAGAGGGAGCAGAGGTTTGGCTCATTTCTCTTGATCTAGACTCTAGAGAAGGAGCTGTGGGAATTAAGGAAACAGAAGTCACCTGGGAAACCCTAGGTGTCTGGCTGGCAAGAACCCAAGGGTGAGGCAGAGCCTTGAACTTGATGGTCGGGCGTGGGTCAGGGCTGGGCTCCTCTGCTCTCAGGTTTTGACATTTGGCTGACTCTCCAATTCACAGGGATGTGTGGCTTCGCTCTGGCCCCTGCCTCCCTGAGCTGCTGTCCACAGTGACCTGGCCCCCCCAGGGCCAGAGGGATGTGTTTACTTCTGTCCTAGCTGTTGAGAGCAGGGGGGTGGCTTTGATGGCCTCTGCAAGTCCCTTTCCGATCCCTTTCCACACTCTTGGTTCTGGAGGTCTGGAGACTATAACTGGCGGAGTGTTGCCGCTAAGGTGGCATGGGGTCAGATGCAAAGAAACCCAGCTGTGCTTTTGGGTGCGGTGCGGAGGGTTTGGACAGCCCTCCCTTTCTCTAGGTGTCATGTGTCCACTCAGAAATGGGAGCAAGGGTGTCCTTTTCCTACAAACAGGGAGGCAATCAGTGTTACCCAAGAGGCTGAATCAGGGATCAAAAACTCAAACGCCCCTTGAGCCGGGGACCTGGTGAGTCAGACAGTAGGGAGGGGTGGAGACTGTGGTGGGCACCCAGCTGCCAGCCTGTAAGCGCAGTTCCAAATGCTGCATGCATGGAGGGGGCCTGGGGCTGCCAGAGCCACTCCATTTTCAAGCACAGTTAGAAGTCCAGATTTTACATAAACTCTCTATTTTTTAATGTTTATTTATTTTTGCGAGAGAGCAAGCAGGGGAGGGGCAAGAGAGAGAGGCAGATACAGAATCTGAAGCAGGCTCCAGGCTCTGAGCGGTCAGCACAGAGCCCGATGCGGGGCTCGAACTCACAAACCGTGAGATCATGACCCGAGCCAAAGTCAGATGCTTGACCGACTGAGCCACCCAGGCGCCCCATGTTTCCTGATGGTTTAGAAACATTTGCCTGGTGACCCACGTGCTTGGGTGGGCCTCAGGGCTGGCCACTGGGTACTGCCCTCCGTGCTGCCTACCTTTGGAAAGACCCTAGTCCCTGCTCGCTCTAAGACAGGTGTCCCACGGCCAACCTTAGTACCTGATCTGCTAAGGATGCTTCCACCCTGGGCAGCTCTGAGTTTTCCTGATCTATCTGCTGCCCTGTCTCCTAATGTTCTTTTTGGAAAGTGTGGGGGTAGCTGGTTAGGAAATCCTCTGAAAGCCCACATCAGTCTGAGGTCGGGGGTGGGGGCAACAGGAGGGGAGAGAGGCTGAGGCAGTTGGTCCCCAAGGAACCCTGAATTGCTGAGTGGCTGTATGGTTTTTCACTGAGCCCAGGGAAGCGGGGGCACTGGGCAGCCTATATCTCCCCACAAAGCCACCTCCCTGTCCCCCTGCACAGCAGGATGTTTGGTTTGCTTTTGTCCAGCCCCCTCCTGGGGGAACCGGGCAGCCTGACCGGACTCCCTCCTCCCCTCTCATACCTCCCTACCCACCCACAGGGTACCAGCAGGCTCTAGACAAGGAGGCACTGCTGAGCAGGTTAGGGGTTGGGGCTCCCATCGCAGCATGCTATGTAAAGGTCTGGCACAAGTCTCAGAGCTGGCCTGGCAGCTGTCCCTGCCAGTGCCTGATCACCTTCCCCATGAGCCAGGCTCTGGATGGCTACCAAGCAGGGCTCCCTCCTCTCCTGCCCAGGTACTGGCCATGCTTGGCGGGAGGGATGGAGAGCTGGGGCTCTGCAGAAGAGCCCTCAGCTTTGGAGGACAGTTGGGCCCACACAGCTGTCCCCAGACCCGTGCCTTCCTGTCCTGGCCTCGACTCTTAGCCCAGGTTGCAAAGAAACCAAACCCTGATCCCCTGGAGTGGCCCCAGCGGGGGATCTCTGCCTGTGGACAGGAGTCAGGCCACGGACAGGGAGCCACCATGAGTGAGCACCTGACTCACCTCACCGAATGTGGCTTAGTACCAGTCTGGACACCTGCTCTGGTACCTAGAAAAAGAGCGCTTTGTAACTCGCTTCTCAGTGCCCTCAAGAAGATCCTGTGCCTGGGGGGCTAGAAATCCTCAAACGTCTAAATTGTAGAATGTGTCTACTTGCAACAGTCCACATCAAAATGCAGCCTTGCCAAGATCTGCAGGGAACCCGCTTTAATGTGAAGTTGAACTCGGTTTGTAATTAGCACAGCCACTGTTCCTGTACCAGTGGGTATGTCTAAAGTGCCTGTAAACAGTTTGTTCTCTTCCGTGGGATGAACAAACCCCCGGAAAGCTTATTTACACCATCGGGTTATTTAGCAATACAATGAGATAAAAACAGCCTTTATTCCCAAATAAATAGTGCAGAGGCAACACTGAGACAACAGCCCGTCCACCTTCCCAAAGCTCCCGGGGCCAAGTGGACACCGTGACAGGGTATCCCAGCCCATATTTTGGGAAGGGCTAAAATCAGGAAAAAAAAAATGCATTTACGCTGGTTGTGGTTTTGAGGGCATGTCTGTTCCCAGCTGAACTTCTGGAGTCAGCAGATGGGCAGAAATAAGTCAAGCCTCTCACGCTGTTGGTGAGATCGTGAAGCGGTACAGCCTTTGTGGAGGGCAATTAGGCAATACCCTAAAATAAAACGCGCCTACCCTTTGGCTCAGCATTTTCACTGCTGGGAGTTTATGTACAGAGGTACTTGCCCAAGTGAGCGAAGATGCGGACACGAGGAGTTCGCTGTTACGTTATTAGCTATGTTGAAAAATGGAAGTAATCTACATAGCTACCCATAGGGGACTGTTGCAATAAATTCTGGGGTGAGCCCCGTGATAAAGCCCTAGGCAGAACGAGGTAGATCTCTGTGTGATACAGAGATGTCCAAGCCATGCTCAGTGGGGAAAGCGATTGTCATGAAAAGCATATATATATATATATATATACACACACACATATATATATATATATATACACACACATACATGCAGTCACGCAAGGAGCAAATTTAGGCTACACGCAAGAAAAGCATGGACAGTGACTGTGTCTTTGCAGGGGACCTGGGGGGAGGAAGAGGAGGGAACTTCTGAATATATTTTAACTTACAGGTTTTTTTTCTTTATTTGTAATTTAGGAAGTTAAACAATTTTAAATGTCAGATCAAGGATTCACATTTTTCCAGTTCTCACTCAAGTTTCCCCTGTGACTTTCATGTGCGAGATCACTTCTGGAAGCTGTGTCTAGAGCTGAGGGGTCTCTCAGGCTGAGTGGGGCTTTTGTTTGTTTGTTTTTATTGTGGTACAACATAGAGAACATAAAATTCGCCATTTTAACCACTGTTAAGCATGGCATTAATTATGCTTACGATGTTGTGCGACCATTACTGCTTTCTACCTCCAAAAGTTTTACAGCACTTGGGTTCCTTTTGACCTTGAACTTCATGGCATGGGGTCTGTGAAGGGCCTGCTTTCCCTTTACGGGGAACAACCTGTGGCCCAGGGCAGCTGAACTGTCCCCAGGGGGCTGGGATGAAAACCCTTTTCTCTCTTCCCTGGAGCTGCCTCCACTGTAAGCCCGTGGTCTCATTTCTGTGCGCCCTAAGCCCACTTGGGAAGGACGCATGGGGCTCTCTTTGAAAGGGGATCCCCGGGCCTCCTGTGCCTCTGCAGGTCACTGAGGGTCTGGCTGTGCGGCCTGGGTAAAGCTGGGTCCCCCTGCGGCCTGACCTTCCTTCGCTGGGCCTCAGTTTCCCTTCAGGAGGAACAGGGGGAACGGGGCCTCACCTTGGCCGTCTCTCTGCCTTTACAGGCATCACGGCTGCTGCTGTGGCTACAGGCGCTTGCATCGTGGGCATTCTCTGCCTTCCCCTCATCCTGCTCCTGGTCTACAAGCAAAGGCAGGTGGCCTCCAACCGCCGTGAGTATCCCTGCCTACCTGGGATGGGTGACTGTATGAGTGGTCGGCCCCAGCCCCCAGCCCTGCCTCTGGGATTAGCAAAGAGGCAGGCACATTTCCTCTCTGTTCCGGAGATGGCAGCTGCTATAGGCCCTGCAAGGAGATGGGCTCAGTGGTACAGAGAGGAGGGGACCCAGGTGTGCCATTTGGGGGGCCCGAGGGCCCACCAGCCCCCTACGGTGCTGGCTGGGCACTCACAAAATATCTGCTGAATGAGTGAATGACCACATGGAGTAGTTCAAGTGGGTTTATAAAAATGCTGCCCCTTGGCGATCCTCTGGGGACCTGCTTTAAAGTCTGGGTAGGCTTGTTTTGCAACTAGCGGAGCAATTGTCGGGACAAAGATGACCTTTGGATGATCAGAACTGAAAGGGATCTCGGAGATAACAGTTCAGTTCTTTCAGCTTATAGCTGGGACACCTGAGCTCAGCGGGGTTAGATAATTAACCAAATGTTATGCAAGTTAACAAGCGGCAGAGCGGGGACTCAAACCCAGAGCTTCAGCTCATGCTTTTTCCAGAGACTATAATCCCACCCTATCATCAAAATGCTCACCAGCACGAGCGTCCTGGCCACCAACCCCTACCTGGAAGCGTCGCTGTGCTGGGTGCCACGCCAAGGTTGTTATATACCTTCTCTCGCTTATTCCTCATCGCAACGCGAGGACTTGGTCCCGCAATTGTTCTTCCCTTGCCACGGAGCAAACTGAGGCACAGGGAGGTTCAGTAACTTGCTTAGGGAACCTCACAGTGAGTAAGCAGTGGAGCCAGGCTTCAAGTCACGGCCGCAAACACCATTTCACCCTCCTCTGTGGTGACAGTGCCCCTTGCCCTTCCTCTGACCCCACCCATGAACCTGGGCTAGTCTGAGTCCTCCAGGAGCAGGAGGCTGGAGAGTCCTCTGCCCTGGCCCTTGCATCACCTCCCCCACCTCTTCTCCTCTGCTCGGCTGCAGGAGGGAGCTGAGCGGGGCTGCTCCGCCACCAGGTGGCTTTGGCTCACACCTGATTTCCTCTGGCTGGACTGTAATACCTTGAGACCTCTGTCACCCGGAGCCCCGCAGTGGCTCACTCAGGGGCTGTGACCACCTTTCCCTTACTCGCATATTCTTCTCGCAAACGCCACTATGGCCTACCTCCAGAAGTACCCCAGGGTGGGGGTGGGTAGGGGGCAGGTAAGGGGGTTGTAGCAGAAAGAAGAACCCGGGGGCCCAAGCAATCACCGTGGGGCTGCCAATGAGCCTGTGCTCACCCGTGCAGCGTTTTCACGGAGGCGGGGAATGGACGAGGAGGGAGACACGCCCAGCTCCCAGATAAAGAGGTGCTTTCTGTCCCCCTTAGTTCAGACCACAACGCTGCCTCCATCAGGGAACGGGAAAACAAATTCTGGGCATTGGCTGGGTGCAGGCCCCAGGCCCGAACACCGTAGGGGTATCCTGAGGACGCGAGGGAAGCCTGGGGTTGGCCCCTAGTATCTCCTATTCCGTGTGCCGGGACGCCTTGAGTCTGAGCTGAGGGCTCCCCGGAGGAAGGACCGGGATGGGGCAGGTGGACCGGACGCCGAGGACTGGGGTGATTTCTGCATCTAGACTCTGGAGAAGCGCTGCTGCTGGAGCCATGGGAACAGAAGTCACCGGGAGATGCCAGGGGTTGGGCCACAAAGCAGAGGCTAAGCGCCCGGGGCAGAG